TTCTGTGAGTGTATAGTTATCGTATGAACTAGGATAAAGCCAATCGGTGAAGATCTTCCTTATTTTTTAACTTAGTTTGTGGTCAAAAAATAGGTGATTTTTCAAAAAAATTTTTTTTTTCAAAGTTCCGCCATTTTTTAATTGTTGTGCGAAGTCAATAGTCCTAGTTCATACGAATTTTCGGATTCGGATGTTCCAGTGAGGAGTTATCATGCCCGCCATCAAAAATAAGGACATTTCTTTGATAACAAAAACAACAACAATACAACCAGAAAAAATTTTTGTAAATTATTTTTCTCCTTTTTAAATCTTCAAATATATATGTGCAAAGTTACAAACCTTAATATGCATTGGTATTCATTTACCAGCCCATTTAAAATCTTAAATAAAACATGGATTTTTTTAACTGAGAATGGGATGATTTATACAAAAAATTGTGCATGGTTCTTAATGGAACGTAATGAAATTTATATAGGTCGATGTATTTTTTAATGTATACAACGAACCAAGTGTATGTGCTATGGAAAAGTATACACAAGAAACCATTATTTTTACAAATGAAAATTTTCGGTGAAATTCTACTAAAATTAAAGAAAAACTACAATATTTAGATTCTAGTTGTAATTTAATTTATTTCACATTTTTCAACAAAGTCATTGATATTAACACAATACAACAATTATTTAAAATCCTCTTAAACCTAACATAAACTTACATTATAACTACTCCAAAAATAAATAATTTTTTAAAGGAATATTTAAAATTTTAACACGGTTAAAACGGTGTATCTCTGTAAAATAAGGCTATCTTTCAAAATAATATCGATAGTGTGATGACATTTGTATGTGCTTTCGAATCAAGTTAGAAGATGGGCTATAACGAACTACCTTTACTTATAACGTAATTATCTGTTATATTATCTTTATACATCATGACATCGATTGGCATATATAATAAAAATAGTCAAACAGTATCTATTAACATTTTTTCTTTAAATTTGTTGTTGAGCATTTAAATGTATGAATCGACAAGCAGCTACAAAATAATGAATGCTTCAACATTTTTTGGTCACATCTTATACTCATGTTGATTTTATAATTAAAATTGTTTAGTATTACATTTAAATAATGTGGTATTCTCTCACGGATTTTTCAGCAAAAAGTCAATAAGTTTTAACTTGATATCATATCCAAACATAAATACTTCATTGTATTCTAAATTAAAAAATGTGGAATTTCTATATTTTAAAAATTATACCCACTAAATTTAAGTCAACGTTGTACATTCTGTTGTAAACTTGTTGACAATTTGTTTGATTTTTTATCAAAAACATATTGAGTGTTTTTTTACTAAAATTTGTTTCATTGACAACTTACAAAGGGTAACGACAAATGCAAGTTGTCATAGATTTTCAGTTTATAATAATTTGTCACTTTTAAAAAAATCGTATATTTATTTATTTCAGTTAGGCATTTGTTTATCGGGATATGTGTTCACTTCTTTTATATTTAATTAAGCAAGTTTAATCCCTGTTTTTGTTGTTTTAAAAATTAAAAAAAAAAATTATTTTATAAAAATCTGCTCACATGCCAACGCATTTTTTGTTTCAAATCTTGATAACCACTTGTTTTCTCCATAACTGAAAGTACCACAATAATTAAACTTTATTTCATAAAACCATAATTTATTTTAAATTTTATCTCACTTCAACGCTATATTAAATATTATTGTCTTCAACTTAAATCAATACCAATCAGATTGACCGCAGAATATACCATAAAAGCATAACATTTTATTTTTTTGTAAACAAATAATACAAACGCCACGAATAACAAAAAAACATGATGAATATGACCAGAAAAAAAAAACAAGAAATTTGAAATGATGTTATATTTTATGGTCATATAATAAGAAAAACCAACAAAACAGTCGCACAAAAAAAAAACGAACGAAATGCAAAAAAGAAGAAAATTCAAACAATAAACAGAGAAAATTTTCATTCAGCCGACACACAACAAACAACATCGGAAAAATGTCTTGCTTTTTTGCAAACTCACATTAAAATGAGAGATTACCACAAAAGGGAACACATACGCAGCAGTAGCAGTGCCAGTATCGCACAATTCAAAGCAACAACAAAAAGAACGATGAAAATCTCATTCAACTATATATGCAGAGTTAGAGCAATCAAACACGCACACACACTCACTTCTATGAAGGAAAAAAGGCATGCATTTGGCCTATAAGAAAATTTCGCCGCCCTAACCACCATGATGAATTTTCCTCATCTGAGAAATTAAATGGAAATATAGCAACACAACACACCGCTCCACACCACACACAACTCAAACACACATGCTGGCATAACAACCACCGCACACTAATACATCACTTAACACTCACTCTATAATGGGTTTGAGTGAAATATATCGGAGCAAACAAATCAAATGAATGTGTATGGCGGTTCGGTTGGCTGCTTGGAGTGCATATAATGATGTATTACCGAATTGAGTATTTATTTCAAATTATGGCAAGAGTATCAAACATGTTTGATGGTGTTCACTGGCCGCCGAGTTTGTATGGGAGTGGGGCTCTTTTGGATGAACCTTGGTGTTCATTTTCTTGTGTTGTGTTATGTTTTGAGTGGATTTGCCTGTGTTGTGTTATGGCATGGGGAGGTTCCAATCTCGGGCTGTGTTGTCTCTTTGGCTCACACTGTTGGGGTTCATTCCAATAAGCCCCATGAACTCTCGCTCGCTCTCACCCAATTTTGTTATTCGATTTTTAGGGGCCTTTTGTTGTATGGTTTTTATGATGTTTGCTTTAGTGTTCGCCTAATACGTGCCACATTTAAATCATTTTTATAGCTAACAAAAATCTATGAAATGAAATTTATTGTAAAAAAAATAAAATTAAATAATTCATATAATAATCGATTGATTCCGTCCTTGGTGTTAAACAAACATGCCGTCGCTAAAACAAGTGTTGAGTTGATGGGGAGTGCAAATAAAAATTAGAAATGTTTGTGAATTATTTTTTTAAAGTTATTATCTAATTAAAAGCTGCTAATGTGTTTCGTGTGTGTGTCTGTGTTCAGAGCATATTTTAAGAGTTTTCCAAGCGTAGAAAAAAGTGTTTTGGCTCTTTGATTTTGAGGAGCCGTAAATGAAAAACAAGTTCGTTGTTTGAATGTTTTGCGCTCAGTTTTTAAGCTTTGTTCTGAAATTGTTTGATGCTCTTTTGTGATTTGCTGCTCGCTCTTTGCTGAGCATAAAACCATTTTTGTGTAAAAGGGGAGCTCTTTGGTTTGCATTGCAAAGCCTGCTAAAGTGGGGGGTGTTTTTAGGGCTGGTGTTCCTCTTTCTGCTGCTACTGCAGCACTACCTACTACTGATATACGCGTATGGACTACTGGGTAAAACTCTGGTTGTGCGCTATCGCAATCATTGTCATCATCAACTAAAGAGGTCTGAGCACCAAGCTCAGAGCACAACACCATCCATCCAACCAGCCAGCCATCCAGCCAACAAACACACACTCAACAACCGTAGGCAGAGAGCCAAACCGAACCAAACGAACAACCACACAAAACAACCATCCATCCAGCCAGCCAGAGCAATACGTCGTCCGCTACAACAACCAACAACACAACATTCTTCAGTCATAACACAACCAACAGTAAAACGTTGGATTATTCGTTCGATGGCAACGGTTTGGTTAACAGGCGCGCGCTTTCTTTTATTACAAAATTTTATCGCCAATTATTTTATGGTTATTTGAACAATTCTGGGGCGCTAAACTCGACGTCAAAACAAAAGTGTTAAGAACCCAAAAACAACAAAAAAAGAAAATACTAAAATCTAAAACAATCTCATTTTTTGGAAAATAATGCCGTCGTCATTTTAACATAACTACTACCCGTTTCCCCCCAAAAAATTTGATAAGACTAATAAAGAACCAACAACTAGTGGCTCGTTCGCTCGTGTGCGCCGCTCCACTCATAATCAGTGAGTTTTTCCGCCCGTCCTAACGTCTTTTGGTTACTTCGTCGTTGTCAGTGTCGTGGATACAGCAGAGCTTTGTGCTGCTGACGTTGTCGTCGTCGCCGTAGTCGTTCGCTGCCTGTTCATGTTGGGCGATATCATCATCACCCAAATGCACCGCGCACTTGAAAGAAAATCTTTATGATTATTTTGGACATTCAGTCAGTTTGTCTACGACGGTCGTAATGAGAATACATCACTTAATCAGCAATAGCAACAACAAAAATACAAAGACAACTTGTATCACAAATACAAGTCGTATTCCTATTACCAACAACACTACAACTATAACAAAATAATAATAATAATACTAATAACAATAAAAACAAATAATAATCGTAAAAATATACAATAAAAGTAATTATTATTATTGTTATGATTACAACAACTAAACACCAAATAAAATTCAACAAAAACGAAAGAAGCGGCTAAAGTAACAACAAAATAGAAACAGCAACACACTATTGTTATTATAATGATAATGTTTATTGTTGCTACAACAAGTGACACAAAAATAATAAATTTCAAATTTCAATAAATTATTTTGTTCAGTTTTTGTTTTTCTAATATTTTAAAAAGAGAAGCCAAGCAGCAACAACAAAAAATACAAATAAACAGAAAATGTGAAATAAATAAAACAGTAATTTTTAAATAAATTAAAAAAATTAAAAATAAAAATAATAAAGTGCAAATTTAAACTGGAATTAAAGTATACGATTTTTTGAAAAAAAAATAAAATACAAATATTTAAGACACATATTTAAAAAAATACAAAATATTTAAGACAACAATTTTAACAATAATTATTTATAAAAAAAATAAAAATTAAGACACCCTACAAGATAACAGTGCAATACAAAAAAAGTTATTTATAAAAAAATAATAATAATAAAAATAAATAAACAAACTTCAAAAATATACAAAACTTCCTTACAAACCATCTCGACACATTTTAAACCGCCAAAATTCTTACCGCCAACAGTATGAATTCATATTTTGAACAAGCTTCTGGCTTTTATGGCCATCCACATCAGGCCACTGGCATGTCCATGGGCACCGCTGGCCATCATGATCAGTCAGCCACCGCCGCAGCAGCTGCCTACAGAGGTTTCCCCCTATCGCTGGGCATGACCCCCTACACAAATCATCATCTGCAGCGTTCGACCCAGGATTCCCCCTATGATGCCAGTATTACCGCCGCCTGTAATAAAATCTACGGTGATGGCAATGCCTACAAACAGGATTGCCTCAACATCAAATCGGATACAATTAACGGCTATAAAGATATATGGAATACAACAGCGAATGGGGGCGGAGCTGGTGGCGGCGGCGGTACTGGTGGTGGTGGTGGCGGTTCAGCCAATTCGGCAAATGGTGCAAATAACACGGCTAACGGGGGACAAAATGCAGCAGGCGGTGGTGGTGGAGCCGGTGGCGGTAATGGTGGTATGCCGGTTAGACCCTCGGCATGTACACCGGATTCACGAGTTGGTGGCTACTTGGACACATCGGGCGGTAGTCCGGTTAGCCATCGTGGCGGTAGTGCCGGTGTTGTCGGCGGTGCCGGTACCGGTGTTGGCCAAAGCGGTCAGAGTGGTAATGTGGGTGGTGCTGGCGGTGTAGGTGGGGCAACGGCTTGGAATGCGAATTGTACAATTTCAGGAGCCGCCGCCGCACAAACAGCAAGTAGTTTACACCAGGCCAGCAATCACACATTCTATCCCTGGATGGCTATCGCAGGTGAGTTTTTTGAAAATGTTTATATTAATATACTTAATACTTAAAAAAGTGGGTTAGAATTAATTTTGAACATAAATACAAAGTGAGAAAAGCCAGGAAATATGGAGATTTGTATAGAATTTTTAGGTGTATTGAAGAAAATAGACCTGTGGGTCAATATTTTAAATTATTGAAAATTATTGAAAAATATGAAGAAAAATTTCCTTTGAATTTATAAATCGATTGACAACTTAGTTATCATGCAGATAAACGAACGGATTAAATTGAAATGGTCTTTAAAATTAAATCCGATATTTCAAATGGGGATTTGTATAGTAGATTTTAGGAGTATTAAAAAATTAAATATGATATCATTATAAAAAGTAAGAGTAGTACGAAAATTAATTTTGAAGCAGATCAGGTTTGAGATTAATTGATTATAAAATCCAATACAAATAATGTTTTTTTGATATAAAAATTAATTTTTATTGCTTTAAAAATTAATTTTTGTTGCTTTAAAAATTAATTTTTATTGGTAAAAAATTAACCCTCCCATTCAAATGTAGCAACTATTCAGGAGATAGGTTTCCAATAAAATATTTATTAAAAACTGTCCAGATTTTCAAAACATGGTAATTTTGTTGTGTTCTCAGTACCGAAGTTTTATTTTTTTCTAATGCTTTAAAAATATATTGATTTCCTATTATATTCAGTCTCGATTTTTAATTTTTTTAGACTAAAATCGGTTTTAAAAAATATTAAATTAAAAAATTTAAAGTCAAACTGCAATAATTTTAAAAATATTGGATTATTGGAAAAATTATAAAAGAAGCAGACACAAATTTTAAATCCTGTAATTTCAATGCATGTGTATTTTGGAGAATATAGTGAACATTACAAAAATCTACACCCAAAATATCAACTCAAATTTAAAAAAGGCTGAAAATAAAAATGGTATGACATCAAAATTTAGTCTTAATTTTTAGAATTAACTTTTTCGCATCAAACTTTAGTGCTAAAAGATTTGTTAACAGTATTTCTCAGATTTCTTCATATCAATTTTAATAGTCACTGTCCAAAAACCGGAGAGATTTTTTTTCAAGAAATACCTTGGATATTTTAGAAAATTCCTTAATTATTTACTTTAATAAACAGATTCCGATTTCTCCATATGACTGGTGTTTATAAATGCAGCATCTTTAAAGTGTGGGAATTTTAAAACCCTTTGAATCGGAAATTAAAAGTTTTTTGGATTAAATAAATTATAATTGTCAATACCCCATGACATTACAGAATATTTAATAGTAGTCTTAAAAAATCAAGCATGTGCTGGTCCTTAAGGAAATATTCTTCGAAAAAATATATCAGCAGAGCATTGAAATATTAAAAACTCTACATAGTGTTGATCCTTAAAAAATATTCTTTAAAAATCTATGATATATTGGTTCTTGAAAAAATATTCAGAGTATAGAGACTCTGTTGGTCCTTGAAAAAATATTCCTTAACAAAAACTACGCTCTGTTGGTACTCGAAAAAATAAAAAAATATATATGCTCTGCTAGTCCTTAAAACGGCAATTTTTTACAAATTTTACTTACTCCGAACTATGTCCCAATTAAAAATTCTATCAAGTGGTAAAATCATACCTTATTCCCGCTTTATTTATTTTTTATTAATTTTTTCTTTAAAATACAAATTTTGACAGCCATAGAAGATTTCAGGTGATGAAGACCTCAGATTTATAATAAAACTTGGTACGAACTTTAACATTTTATATGATTTTTTTGCATTGATTTCTAAATATTTATTCCTCATTTTTTCCTTTAGATTTTGAATGTCAATCCCCCCAATATTCATTATTTCTTTACTCCCAAATTCATATTTCCTTCAAAGATTTTTGTAGTACAAACACCCCCAGGATTGGCACAGAATATTCTCTAAAATCGTTCGGTCCCAATAACAATACCTAAAAACGTATTTTTTGCACTCCTCCCACCCTTCTCTTTCATTTTAAGCCCGCATATAGCTAGGCTCCAATTTAAGTTAAACAAGCCCTGTGCCTTATATCGTGAGATGAAATCAGCTGCCATAATCATTCGTCATTTTTATGCACTTGTTATTATTATTATGTGTGATTGAATTCAATATGCAGTACGTTGAATGTTTGAGGCCAATTTCAGTTTTGTTTTACCTTCTTCTTCGACTTCTCCTACTTCTTCTTCATTATCGACTTACACATAACCCCGTGAGTGATATAATAATAGTTTGAATTTCATGGCATATATGATTACGTTTGCTTTGGGGGTTATTCTTTGGGTTATTGTGTGTGTATTTTAACCGGTATTTGAATGAGTGGACGGACGCTGCTACAATTCGAAATCAATTATTTCCTCATACGATTTGATATTTTTGCTTTTTGATTTAATAGTGGCATTTTATTATAATGATGTTTGGTTTTTACTTGGAAATGTTTTTGTGGGTAAAAAGAGATAAAGAAAGAAAATTTATACAAATTATAAATAATAACTTTATTCGAAAACAAAAACACCTTTAATAAATAAATTTTATACGAAACGCCATGACAAACAACAAGAAACCGTGACAATAAATGTTAATTGCACAATTTGTCACATAATTTGTCACCTTTGGAGTTTCGCTTTTTTTGCAAAAACAAGAAAAACGAAGAAAAAATCAAAAATTATGACTTCCAGCATCATATAGTTTAGCTGATATCCAACCAAGCGAATAAAGTAACCCTAGAGTTAACTTTTCACTCTATGATGTCTGCAGAAAGGATAGAGAAAAACTGCTGCTAACCTTTTTGTGCCGAGGAAAAGAAAGAAGCAAAAATAGAAATACAACAGCAACAACGTGTAAAAACGGTGTGAAACAATCCTTTTAATTTGAGAACATCAACAAACCGTTTAAAAAATACAATTTTTTCGCACTCTATGAACTCGTGTTTTTTGTTTTTCTGGTCCTTTGCACTCTATGGGCCTGTCTTTACCTTGCAACTGGCAACAAACCAGGCAAGGCTACCTTGCTTCTGGAGTGCGACATAATAAAGCATTTTTGCTTGTTTGTTAGTTAGTTTATTTCGTTGTTAGCAACAATTGCAATAGCATCAACATCTGTACAGAAAAACGGAACCAGGCAGGCGACCGCCATCCAGCCAGCGCGAATGTGGTATAACCGGTAGAGTTAAGACATGTTAGAGTTTAGTTAACGGGCACGTTGCCGTGTCAACGCCAACGCCACATGTGTCTCGGAGTTGTAGTTCGACAAAAAAGAAAAGTCCTCTACTAAATACTGTGAGCACCGCAGTACACAATTATGTAATTATTACATTTACAACACTACCAACAACAACAACAATTGATGTCGTTGTTACAAGCTCTTCAAAAATGCCAGGGCATTAGAGGACACAGCAAGAGTTGGGATGACTTCTTCTTTTTTTATGAAATCAAATACCTAATGTAAAGGATAAGCAGTTCAAACTCTTTGAAATCAAATTCAATACAACCACCGCAAACTCAAGCAGCCACCCACACCATGTGGCCATTTCACAGTCTTACAGAAAGAACAACTACAATTCTTTTTTTTAAATAATGAAATTAAATGCTTGAGATTTGGGTTAAAAAAATATTTCTATTTTTTCCCACAATGGCATAGAGTGTCACACATATTAAAACCGTTTTTTTATTTTTGTTGATGGTATTGTGTGTCTATGGATTCCATAGAATTTAAAATCTCAACCATGGAAGAACATTTTTTACGCCATTTTGTTTTATGTACGACATGTTGTTTTTATTTTTTTATTTTCTGAAAATCTTATTTTTGTAAGTAATACAACAAACTCTAATACATGTGTTAATTGCTCATTAAAAATGTTTATGATTTTTGTTGTTGTTGCTGCTGCTAGTAATCGCCATATATATTGTAAGCCATTAGATGACCCTTAAAGATCACTAAAATATAATTTCTACTGATAAAAAATTGGAAGAAAAAATTCCAGTCATGACATATGGTGACAGAATCTATGGCGTAGACATATAATATTTGTTATGTAGAACTTTCCATTGAATTAATGTAATATAAATTATAAAAATGTGAATTTTTATTAATTATATTTTAGGACAATGTAAAAAATCAGTATAAGAAGTCTTTATGAAGAAGTACTTCCTTATAAATAATAATTAATAATAAATAAATTAAAAAATCGAAACAGTAATTAATTATTGTAGCGATAAAGTAGAGCTCATAGTGTTGATACACACTTTTACTACTTGTTTGAAATTATTTTTACAAAAAATCTCAAATACACTAATCAATTTTTTAACCTAACAAATATTTTTTGGCCTAAAAAACTCAAATAAATAAAACAAATATTTTTCATTTTATGAAATTTGATTCCTATTGAATGAAGTATTCTTACAGTATAAAAATGTTTTTTTTCATTGCCTAACAGGCAAAACTCAAATAAATAAATAAAACAAAATATTTTTCATTTTATAAAAATTGATTCCTATTGAATGAAGTCAAAATTCTAAAAACTGATTTATTTTCATTTGAAATATATTTTAAAATAATAAAAGAAATTTCTAAATAACTGAAAAATATGTGTTGTATATTATAAAGTAAAAAATATAAATTCAACATTTTACGTATTTTTATGTTTAAGGGCACAAAGCCACATAAAATTTTTGCAAATCAAACCTATAAATATCTTATTATTAGAAAAAAATTGACTTAAATTACATTAAAATAAGACTTGAAGGTCCCACACAATTGAAAATTTTTATAAGCATTTAAGATCCAAGAAATTTTAATTCTAATATTTATTCGACAAATGGTCCTGGAGATTATAATTCAATTTTATTTCTACACCGTTTTATTTCGAACTATTAAATTAAAAAATATTTCCTTTTGAGATCTTGTTCACCTTATTCTCCCAATTTTTATCTCCCCAATCGTTGCTTGGGTTATTGCTTTGAATAGCCTCTCAACCACTAATTCCAAAA